AGTAGTAGTAGTGATATATATCATAAAAATCAATATCGGATCACTACTTAATATTGGGGGGGTGATTGGGTGGGATGGGAGGGGTATGGATGCACATGTAGATCAATAACCACCAGTTCCAGGCCATCCAATCACATCACTATGCAACTGTCCAATTTGATTGTGTGATCCTTATTATAGTCGGGTATATCTTTACTGCCACTGCCACCACCACCACCACCACTGCTACCTCCTTGTCCTCCTCCACCACCACCACCACTGCTACCTCCCTGTCCATCACCACCACCACTGCTACCTCCCTGTCCATCACCACCACCACCACTACCACCATCTTTCTTGTCCTTATCATCTGAATCTTTGAATTTTTCTTCAAACATCCACATAAAACCTTCACAACTGAATGCATCCAATTTCCACGCACGACAACAATCAATCATATCGTTTAGATAATGATCGCAATAACCCAATTGATAACCATTTTTATTCAGACATTTATTTAGATTGCAATAGAAATGTTTGCACGCATCGGGTTTCTTGTGCGGTAATACCACTGTTGTTGTAATACACGTGATGCACGCGCGTGGGGTAGCCATCATCCATACAAACACATAGAGAGAGAGAGAGAGAGAGAGAGAGAGAGAGAGAGAGAGAGAGAGAGAGAGAGAGAGAGATAGAGTACATATATATTCAAATTTTTTTTTTTTGAATGTAGAGATAATTATGTGTTTATGAAATAAATTTTTAGATATATTAAAAAAAAAATTTTTTTTTGATTAAATTATTAATTTTGAGTAAAATTAAAATTTATTTTAATTCATATATATTTTTGTTTTGTCTCTTAAAATGTTTGTTTCAATAACAACAAAAAAAAAACAATTATATCTAATATTAATTTCAATTGTCTATAATATTAATTAATCAATTAATTAATTGTCAATAATATTAATGATAATTAAATATCATATGATTTTTTTAAAAAAAATATAATTATAATTTATTAAACATTTAGTTTTATAATTATGATAATAATAATAATACTAATAATTTAAACAAAAAAAACTTACTTGATATTAGATTATTAAAAATTATTTAAATAATTTTTATTTTAAACTTATAATTATTATCAATTTTATTAATTAATTAATTTAACTAAAATTTACAGTTTTTTTGTACAAAACACAAAAAAAAATTGTTTTTATTTTAAACAATCAAAACAAATGCTGCAATCATTTACAACATTAATACACAAAACACATAAACACATATACAATAATGTTACTTAAATTTTTTTAAAAAAATTACCTAGTTATTTCGAATTAAAATATTTTAGCTAGTTAAGCTAGATATAAACATTTTTTGATAATTTATAATTTTAACTTAAACAAATTAAATTGTTTTTTTTAAATTATTCAAACAATGTGTACCGGTTTACTAGTAAATAGTGTTTACTTGTATGTAAAATTTTTACAATGTACATTTTACAAATGTATCTATCAATAAATTATGTCTACAAATTTAGGTTGTACTGTATATGTTGTTAACATGTTAAATTTGTGTATGATAATTTTTTTAAAAATTTATAATAATAATTATAATAGCTAGCCAAAAAAATTAATTATTATTAATTTTGCTAGGTTATTAAATTTGAAATTTATATTTATTTTTTCTAATATTTTGTTTTGTTTAAAATAAAGTAATTATTAATAGATAGTGTATTTTGAAATTATTTTATGTATTTGAGTTATTAATAATAATTAAAACTAAAAATTACATTTTATTTAAATAAATTTTGTAATAATAATAATTTTAATTTAATATTTTATAAAAAAATTATTTTAAATTATTATTATATTGAAACACTTTATTTATATAATAATAATAAACAAATAGATATTAATAATAATATTTACAATATAAATATATAGCATAATTATTATATATATACAAGTTTATTAACAATATTTAATTAATAAAAAAATAATTAATTAATTTTTTTATAGATACATACAGTATATATATCGGTATATTGTACATGTTAATAATTATCAAAAAAATTAATTAATTAATTATAGTTAAAATTAAATCACATACAGACATACGATAATCAAAAATAATTATTTAGTTATTTAGACATTTTTTTGTTAAATTGTTTTTTATTTATTAGGAGGCGTGGGGTGTAAATTTATTTATTTTAAAAATAATTATTATTAATTAAATTAAATAATTATTATTATTAGTACACATGATTTAAATGGCTTTTATTATATATATATAGTGTATATAAATAAATAAATAATTATATAATTTATTTGTTATTTTATAAAATAACAATTATTACATATATATATATAAAAAAATTTATTTATTTAAAAAAAACCCTAATATGAAGTTATTGTACGGCAATTGTTCGGCATCGGTGGTCACTGTTTCGGTAGCGATGGTCATATTGATGACCATTACGGGTCTGGTCGACAGTAAGGCTACGACGACTGTGAAGAAGTCAAAGACAGCGACGACGACGACAACACCGAAGATAACGACGACGACTAAGAAGATGGCGACGACATCACCGAAGATAACGACGACGACGACGACTAAGAAGATATCGACGGCTAAATCATCTGCAACTGGAAAGAAGTCTTCGTCGACATTGTCGACGACAGAAGAAGCCGAAACCGATCAGATACTAAAGGAAGTGTTCGGTAACGAAGTACTAGACGAAGGAGACTATGTCTACAGGGATATTGTTGCCGACGAGTTTGCCCGCAAGGCTGCCCTATCGTTGACCTACGAAGCCATTAACGGCGGCGACGGTACAGCGGACAGCAATACGACTATCATCAGTGTCGATGTGGAAACAACGGCCAACAGTTCCGATCAGTCGGACGACGATACCGATGCTGGTGTCATGTTGATGGCCGCCGCTGCTGTCGACAGTGCCCATAGTACCAGTGCTGCTGCTGATACTGATGACAGTTCCCATAGTACCAGTCCTACTACTACTACTACTACTACTGGTGGTGACAGTGCCGGTGACAGTACCACTGTTGCTGCTGATAGTGCTGAGACTACCAGTGCTGCTGCTGCTGTTGATGGTAAGGATAGTACCACCATTGGTGCAGATATTGATGTTACTACCAGTGCTAATGATAATACCGAGACAACTACATAACTACTATTTATTGGTACCAGTGCTAAAAAAGGTTAATTTTTTTTTAAAAAAAATAATTAGTTATATGTTAAATATTCAATAAAATAAATTTATTTAATTTTATTTTAATTATAAATAATCGATTGTATGTATGTATTGTACATACATATACTATATATATAATGTATTGTATAAAACTTTTTAAAAAATAATAATAAAAAATTTATTTGATTTTTTTCTATTGTATTAAATTATTGACTAATTTTAGTTTAAGTAAAGTTGAGTTAATTTTTTTTATAATAAATAGTTTTAAAATATTTATTATATTTGTATAATTATAATCATACAAATTATTGTTATTATATATTTAATTTTTTTTCGTTAAATTAATAAATTATTTTTTTTTGTAAAATATATGCTAATTTATATTTATTTATCTAAATTACAAATAAATACTACAAATCATTGAAATTTATTTATTTGTATTTAAATAAAACAAAAAAATATATATATATATACTGTAAATAAATATTTATAAGTAAATTTAAATAAATTATTACTTATAAATTATAAGTTATAATAATAATAATAATAATAATAATAATAATAATAATAATAATAATAATAATAATAATAATAATAATAATAATAATAATAATAATAATAATAATAATAATAATAATAATAATAATAATAATAATATTGAATAAATTTTAGTTTTTATATTGCAAAACATTTAATTGCACCATATTTGCTAATTTTTTTTTATTAATAATTAATAATAGCTAAAATTATTATTATTATTATGAAATTTATTTTTAATTAAACCATCCATTAAAAAATAAACTTACTATACATTGAAAATCATAAATAATAATAATTAATTAATTAATTAATGAAACAATTACAATCATAATTAACCGATTGGTTAACTTTTAAATTTGTATTTAAATATTTTTTTTGTTTGTGTTGTTTTTGATTTCATTTAATCAATATAACTAAATTTAAAAAAAAAAAATTATGATTACAACTAAACAACAACAACTAGTAATCCGATTGATAGTATTATTGGTACCGTTGATAGCAGTTATTAGACCGGTTCAGCTGATTAATCCAGCACTGGGTACCGATGCTGGCGGTGTAACCATAAAAAACGGCCCTAAACCGGTCAGTAGCATCAAATTTGGCGATGGAAAGGCAACCTACATGAGCAACCCTGCCCTGGGTGCCGACGTTGGTAATAATGCTGGTTCTGTTAGTACAGCTGGTGGTGGTGCTGCTGGAGGTGCTGGCGGTGGTGCTGGAGGTGGTGCTGGCGGTGCTACCAATCAGAAGCTAGAGAAACGACACGATCCGGAGTTCGGTGAACTAAAAGTACAACAGTTGCCGATTGTATCGTTTTCGGCAGCAGATGTCGGCGCCCAGCACTCGATAGACGAATATCTAAGACACGTCGACAGGCACGCAGCCGCCGAACAGGCCCAACGATCGGCTGCCCGACGGTACGAAAAGTGGATGAAAAAACAACAAAAACTGGCCAGCCAGCAGCAGAAACTATACCAACAACAACAACAACAATACCATAGTCAAAGTCATCAGATGATGGACTCGGGCGCCGGCAGCGGCGGCGACATTGGTTACGGCCAACACCAACAACAGGCTGCCAACTATAACGGCGGCGGCGGCGGCGGTGACCAACAACAAGAAGAAATTGATGAAAAACCGTACGGCCAAGACTATGTACCGTTACAGACGGCCAGTCCGAATATACCCCAAGAAGTTATTGACTATTTTCAAAAATCGCACAAAAATGATCTCAGATTGGCAACAGAGATACAGCACCGGGAGGATAGAAAACTACAAAAAGATACCTATTTTAAGAGAAATAAGGCTAAACTACATAGTGATGGTGGTGGCAGCAAATGGCGTACGGTTCCCGGTAGCGAAAAAGTTAGCAAAGATGATGGTAGCAGTGGTGGTGGTGGTGACGGTAAGGGTGACGGTAAGGGTGCCGATGGTGGTGGTGGTGGTCCGGCTGACGATGCTATCAAAAACTATAGTATGATACACAAAGAAGATTTTGAATCGGTCGGCAAACAAAAACGGGCCGGTCTTAAACACGGACATCAACATAAAAGACGTCATCCCGACGACGATGATAGCGGTCTGGCAGCTACAGCTCCGTCCGCCGGCGATGAAGAGGACAAACCATTGAAGATGAGTGCCAGTGAACTGAAGGAAAAACATCAGAAACTAAAGGAAAAAGCTAAAGAAGTTAAGGAACGGATGAAAACACGTTTGGAAACTGTTAGGGAAAATGTCAAAGAAAAAGCTAATGATTTCAAACAAAAATTTAAAAAAAATAAAGAGTAATAATAATTAATTTATAATTAATTAATTAATTATCACTACTATTATTAATATTATGCTATATTTTATCGTTTTGTGTCTTTAATGTGTGTTTGTCTTAATATATTATTATTATTATATATTCACAATATATAGTAGTTTTCAATATAATAATAATAATAATAATAATAATATAAGTAATGTATTTTAATTTATGCAAAAAAACCAAACAAACAGCAAACAAAACCAAAAAAATTAAATGTAAAATTTAAGCTTATATAATTTTATAATTATTATTATTATTATTTTACATAATATTTAAAAAATTGTTAGTTTGTTAAATGTTTCAAAGTTTTTTTAAAAAAAAGTTATTATTATGTATGTTAATTTTTTTTTAATTTAATCTTTAATTATCTATTGATTATTATTATTATTATTATTATAACTGTATTAATAAATCATTATTTTTATTTGTTTTATTTTTTGTTTTTATTTTTTATGGTATGTCATCAAAATTTTATTGTTACTTCAACTACAACAACAACAACCGTTTTAAGACCGTTAGATCAGATGCTGAAGTTGAGTCCCGAAATGATTGGACAGTCTATTGGTATAGAGGCATCTGGAGGATCCAGTTCCTCATTACATATCGATAAATCCCGTATGAAAATCATACCGATGCCACACGGTCGACAGGGACTAGTCAATATGGATGCCCAGGTGCTCGGCTATCTGGAATCGGGTAGGGCCCAGTTAGATATAGAGCATGCTAAAATTATACCGATGCCCGTAGTGGCCAACAGTGGCCAACAAAACATCGGTTCGGTACGTATGGAGGACTTCAAACAACAACAACAACAACAAAATAATAATAATAATAATACCGTTAATACATAATAATATAATTTATATATATTTAAATAATTAATTTTTATAGTTATCTATAATTTTATATATTTAAAAAAATAATAATAATTTTACCAATTAAATAAATATAAAAATTTATTATTAATATTATTATACATACATATATAGATCAATATACTATTATTAAATATTCAATACATTTACTAATATGTTGCGAAAACTAAGTTTATTGTAGAATTTTTTTTTTATAAATTATTAATAATAAGAAACTTTTTTTTTAAATTTATAATTTATGTAATTTGTTGTTTTTTAAATAAAACTAATTAATAAATATTTTAATAATAATAATCATTGATTTTTTTTCTCTCTCTCTCATAATGTTCATAACATAATTAAGTTATTTACACAAAAAAAATTATTTATATATTATATTCATAATAAAAAAACATATTTGCAAATACTATGTAATTGATAGAGTAGTAATGTATAGATAAACTTCTAATAATAATATTTAACTACCTGTCCTCCCAAAATTACATGTTTGTTACATCAATAAGCAACATACCTATGCCTGTAAATTAAAGACAACAATAATGAATCGGCGGCTATATTTAGCTATACTATTATTATCATTAGTAGTAACTGTCATATTATTAGGCTGTCCGCATGTCATATATGGTAACTGTGCTAATATACAGTATATAATTACATATTAATATAATATAGATAACCTTCCAAACAAATAGGCGATCCCAACAACACCACCACCACCATCACCACCAACGGTAACGGTAGCATCAATGATGACGCCGATAGTGTCGTACCCGAAGAGTTGCCACAGAGTGCCAAATCTGTGTCGTCACCGCCAAAGACAGGACAACTGTCCCCATCGGCTGTCGAAGAGTACATGAAAGAACATCCGGAGCTCAAACAGATGCCCAAAAATGACGGGTCAGTAGGTCTGCAGCCGCCGCCGCCGCTGCCACCGCTGAAACAAGTGTTCAACAAATATGGCGATATAGTTGCCGGTGCTGTCAATGGCACTGCTAACACAACAACTACTACTACTACTACTGCTGGTCAAGTGTTTAGTCAGCCACAAGAACCGGGTGGTGTCGGTAATGGTAGTACTAATACTAGTAGTAGTAGTAGTAGTAGTAGTAGTCATCTACAAGAAAATCCTGAACAACAACAACAAGCTTTTGTGTCAAATGCTTCCCAACAACTATACCAACAACAGTATCAACAATATCTGCAACAATACCAACAATATCAGGAACAGCTAAGACAACAACATCTGCCGCCAGCACCGCCACCTCAACAGCCACAGTATGCCTATACCTATAACACTGATCCCAGTGCTGGTAGTGCTGCTCCCGCTGCTACTGCTGTTGTTGCAGCTGATCCTATGCAAGCAATCGCTTCACTGAATGCACAAATCCAACAATTGTATCAATTGATTCAATCACAACACCAACAACAACCACAACAACAGCCACCACAAGTTCAACCACAACAACAAGAAACTCATAATTTACATCCTGATTCTTCATCACCACAAATAGCCTATCCAGTTGGTGCACCTGATGCTGCTGCACCTCCAGTAGCCATAATACCTACTAGTGTACCATCATCAGGAGCAGCAGCAACTCCTATTGTTGTCCACAATAAGAAACTATTGCATAACAAAAATATCAAACACCATCACAACCACCACCAACATCACCACCAACAACAACATCAACATCATGTTGTTGCTGTAGAACATCCGGTCGCCATAACTCCCGGTCCCGACGGTATTATCGATTCGGAAATGGAGTTAACGCCTAACCAATATTTGCGATTGTTTTCAAAGAAAAACTCGGAACTGCCTCTCGGACAACACGAAAAGATGGTATATGTAAGTGTCTATGTGTGTGTGTGTATGTGTGTGTGTATATGTGTGTGTGTGTGTGTGTGTATGTATGTGTGTGTGTGTGTGTGTGTGTGTGTGTGTGTGTGTGTGTATGTGTGTGTGTGTGTGTGTGTGTGTGTGTGTGTGTGTATGTATGTGTGTATGTGTGTATGTGTGTGTGTGTGTGTGTGTATGTGTGTGTGTGTGTGTGTGTGTGTGTGTGTGTGTGTGTGTGTGTGTGTGTGTGTGTGTGTGTATGTGTGTGTGTGTGTGTGTGATTTAATATAAAAAAAAATATTTTATTGACAGAAAAAAATGTACGCCAAAAATCAACAACAATTACAACATATGCTTAAAGTGCAAAAATATTTGGCCCAAAACATGGGACAGTCATCTAACCAGTTAGCTATTGTACCGTCAGCTAAGGATATGGAAGCAGAAGATCAATCACCAGCAGCACCGCCGCCATCACCACCACTACAGTCGCCTCAAATAAATCCACAATTATTAGCTCAGATGTCACAGTTTATACAGCCAGCAGCGGCGGCGGCACCGACCTCACATTCAGCGGGCAGCGGCAGTCCCTCATTACTTATAGATAAATCGCGTATGAGAATCGTGCCCATGCCGTACGGTAATGGCCAACAACAGGGACTGGTCGGGATGGATCCACAAATGTTGCGCAATCTGGAAACAGGTGCTGCCCAACTGGACATGTCAAATGCCAAGATTGTACCCATGCCTATCAATAGTGATGGTGACGGTAGTAACGGTGATGACACTGGAGGTGGTGGTAGTGGACAGTTAGGCGGCGGCGGTGGCGGCGGCGACGACGATCCAACTGGTACGCAACCGCAACAAATGCAACCGTCACCGTACGGACCGTTGATTGGCGGCCCGCCGCCCGACGGCGGTGACCAGTCGCCCGGTGCCACCGAATCCGAATCAATCGAATTCCGGCCCGAATATCCCGAAGTGGTTCCAACAACTCTGGCATCGCCGTCGGCTAAGGAGCTGATAGTCACATCACCGCAACAGCAGCCGTCTATCAGTGCATCCAAACGCAAGTTCCGATACAATCAAGTGGTCAAACGTCGGCACAACAGCGCCGCAGCCGCCGCCGTCAGTGGCAGCAGCAGTGGTGGTGGTGGCGGTGGCGGCAGCGGCGGTAAACCCAAGTTTCTTATGAGAGCTCGACTAACAAATTTGCCGAAAAAAGGACAGTTAGGCGACGCCGATAGCTGGTGGTTGAAACCAGTGCCCGACTATTGTTCCGATAAGATTGTCGAAATTACCGACTGTCCAGATAGTCAGCTCAAGTATCGGGCAAAGCGTTGGTCGTTTGATACGACAGACGAAAAATGTTATCTCTATGAGGATGAGTGCCATTCGGTTAAGAGAAATACATTTTCGACACTCAAGGACTGTATGTTTACCTGTTGGCGACCCTAACGATGAGGAAGGAAGGGGTGGATAAGGGATTGGTAGGTGTCGTAGATGTGTAGGTATAGATTGAACCCATAAATTGATTTTTGTTTTGTTATTTTTTCATAAATTAAATTTTTTATAATTAAAACATAAGTAATGTATAAATAAATTAAAATACTATAATTTTTCAATTGATAATTAAACTATGTTTTAATTTTTAATTAAATTTATATTATAATTGTTAATACAATTTTTGTATCATTTTATATCAACTATATTTTGTATATTATTATTATTATTATTGTTAGTTGTTATAAAATAATATAAACAGTTAATTTATTTTATTTAATTAAATAGTAATAAATTTTTATGATTATTATTTTATTCATTTATTTTTATAATTACATTTTTATTAATAATTTTAAAATTATTAGTAAGTTTTTTTTTAAAAATATTGAATATTAAAATAAACTAATAAATAAATAGATATTAAGTACAATGTATTTAGTACTGTATAAAGTAGTCATTAAATTATAATATAAAATGTAATTTATTTACACTTTTTTATATAGCAATGACATTGAAACTATGAAAATAATAATAATACTAAATAAATTAATTGTTTAACATTTGAAAATATTACATTTAATAATTGTTTACTAACTATATAATATAATAATAGTTAATAATATTTCAAAAAATATATAGTTAACTAAACTTTTTGTTGTTTAGTTCAATCACATTTATATTTGATATAATAAAAATATATATATATTATATACATGTATATATATACAAACACGCATGGCTTTAATAATAATAATTTAATATTAATTATATAATGGCACACCTTTATTGTAGACAATTTTTTTTGTATATATATATACACACACACATTAATATATATATATATATATATTTCAATATAATTATATAAAAAAATCGTGATAACTAATAATAAAAGTTTTTTTTTTAAAACACTAATAATAATAATTATGATTATTTTGTATATAACTATTTACTCTACTGTATATATATACACACAAATATTTTTTTTTATACAAATGTATTAATTAATTAGTTGACAATTAACTAATTTTGTGATTTGTTTAAAACAACAACAATAATAATAATAATGTTTTATTTAATAAAAGTTAATTTTTTATATATATATATAATTTATATACCAGTATATAATATTACATATTATTTTAGATATTTTATTTATTTTATTATAAAATAGTTGCACATGTTTTATATACAATATATTATTATTTGTAAATACAATTAATTTATATATAATATAAAATGTGTAAAACATTTGTGTTAATATTTGCACCAAAAATATTATTATTATTATTATTATTTTTATAAGTAAGTACATAGAGTTTTATTATATATATATTTAATTTACAAAATAAATATTTTTTAATCGTTACTATATAAACATTATATCAATTATTTATTATTATTATTTTGTCAATGATTTGATACTAACATTTAAAAAACCAGTTTATAAATTCAATTTTGATTTTATAATTTTATGCATATATATACGTATATATATATATATATATGATATAAACAGTTTTTTTAGATAAATAAATTAAAATAAGTATATTAAAAAAAATTATTACATACATAACGTTAATATAAATTTAAAATTAATATTAAATTATTTAAAAATTCATTCAAATATTTAAATATTTATTGATTTAATTTTGATTATCATTATTGACGACAAACACAACATCAAAACAAAATAAAACAAAATAAAACAAAAAAAACACATTTTATTAGTCTCTTTGAAAAATATATATCAAAAAAATAATATCAATTAGATTATCAAACTTTGTATCAAACAATAAAATGCAAGTTTTTTTTGCACTACAGTACATGTAGTTTATCGTTAAAATCATATAATTATATATACAGTATATATAACTTAATAGTTAATTACATTAATATCAGGATTTTCAATATGAAAATCCATTGATTTCCGTTTGTATGTAATTTATAAACAATATATATATATATATATATTAAATGAAAGTTTTATTTAGAAATTTATTTATCATATATATATATATATTCATATATTTTCCTCCCACTAAAACATGTATTATAAATAATGTTTATTTTTATTATATCATACAGTATATATTGTATACATAGGATATCCACGACTACTACTAACTTTAGTTTAATAATTATTTATATTATTAGCATTTTATTTATAGCACAGACACATACACACAAAATTTTTAGCTGACTTGTAAACTATAGTTTATTTTTACAAAAAACTAAATGATTATACAATTAGTTTAACATTTATAACATAGGATTTCTACAGAAAATTTTATTATTTAAAAATTATTTTCATTGAATTTTTTTTTCAGTACAGTATATACATGTATATCAGGATTTTATATATATGTATATATATATATACTGTATAATTATATAATTATATAAGTATTTAAAATTTTAATAACTACTGTTTTTAAAGATATTGTTTGTGTGATAAAATGTAAATTAAAAATATAAATTATGATAAATCAATTAAATATATATTTTTTATAATCAATCAATTTATTATGTGATTAAAATAAAATGTAAATATTTTTTTTTGTGTATTTACAGTAGTTTTTTATATATATATATTTGATATGATATTAAAATATATATATATTTATAATTGTTATTTTATATAATACCAGTATATAATATAAATTAAATAATTTAATGTGTTTTTGTCTATTATAAACGTGATTTAATTAACTTATTTTTTTCAAAACATGTATTATAATTGTTATGTTGATTCAGAAAGTTATATACAAATAATTTAAAAATAAATTTACTGATAATATATATATATATATATATATATAATATATATATATATTATATATCGAAATATAAATTATATATATATATGAAAAAATATAATATAAAATAATATAATACATGAATATTGTGCCAAAAAAATATATTTATTTATACATTTAAAAAAATGTGTTAATACAAACATTTTTTATAAAAAAAATGTTTATCAATTTTTTTTCAATGACTAAAAAAATTGTTATCTAATTGACAGTATATGATATACAGTATTGTATATCAATATAATAATAATAATAACTGTATTTTTTATTTAATATAAGTTATTAATAAAAAGTCATGTCAAGTGTGATGATGACAACTACGAGCTATGATATCCGTGAGACGAATCCACCAATCGGTGGACAGTCGTCGTCATCGGCTACAACAGTGCTGACGAACGGACTGACCACCGCTGCTGCTAATGTTAAAAACAACAATATCTACCGAAACGAGTCGCCAAAACGTATAGACTATGTACTAGTCTATCGTACGAAACTTGATGACCACCAGTTGTCACAGTCATCGTCGGTGTCTTGTATGGCAAATGCCAGACAGATATTCGAGGTATTTGTTTGTTTGTCTGTCTTAAGTATCTAACCTACCGGTGCTTATCTTATATGTTATATTTAGTCCAATCTGATCGACGAAGGCCTTGTACTGGAACGGGCCGACAGTTCCGGTACCGGTGAGTACACCTATGTCCATGTGTTTGCTCCGTGGCCACTGTTGACCCGATATGCCGAAGTAATGAAACTACGGATGCCGATGAAAACAATTAAGTCAAATATGCGGGAACTGTTCGATGAAGAGTACGGTACGGATCAGATGGTATTTACGGCTCCCTATACTCGGGACAAGGAATACTTGTTCGACATACCGGTGCCCGACAGGGACCGATTTTTTACGGTCAGCCAAAGAGCCCAGATTGTCGAGTTTATATTGAAACGGAAAAGTTTTGTCTGCAACGCTACCGATGTTTTCAGTGTCGGCATCAGTAAACTGATCAACGATAACGTCTATTTAGCCGCTTATCCATTACATGAAGGTAATGATGATAAGCGCTTCTACACCTATTTTGTTTTATTAATATAATTGCTATCTGATCCACTCAAACAAAAATAATAGGCAAACTTAACGAAGATATCGACTCTAAACGGTCGCATCTGATCGACGACTGGGCATCGCTGTCATCCCTACTCAAGTCTCAACCATTGGAAAGGATAGTCGACTATTTTGGCGTCAAAACAGCCATGTATTTTGCATGGATCGGCTTCTACACCCGTATGCTGGTACCGGCCTCTGTTATCGGCCTAATATGTTTCATCTATTCGGTGGCCACACTCGACCGCGATCAGCCAACTAGACAACTATGTCAGGACCGTACCGGTCGCTATATGTGTCCGACTTGCCGACACTGTAACTATACACTACTGGCCCAGTCGTGCAGTTTTATGCGCGGCTCCTACCTAATGGACAATCCGTCGACCATTGTATTCGCCATATTCATGAGCCTATGGGCTACTGTTTTCCTGGAAATGTGGAAACGCTATTCGGCTAAGATTTCATACAAATGGGATTTATCTGAATTTGACGCTCACGAGGAATATCCACGACCCGAATATCTTGTAATTATGACAACAACAACAACAAAAACAATACTAATTTTATACTCATTAAATAGTAATTGATTTTTTTCTATGTGTGTGTGTGTGTGTCTCAAAAAGGCCCGCTTAGCCAACCGTAAGGCCAAACGTATACTGAATGTCATAACACGAATGGAGGAACCGTACATACCGTTTCTCAGAGGCAAACTGCCCCACATAATCATATCGTCATCGCTGGTCCTATTATGTATCTGTTTGGCTATAGCTATCATGATATCCGTGATAGCCTATCGGGTATCGGCACGTATAGTACTCAATACATGGTCGCAGCGATCGGATTTCCTACAGAATTACGGCTCAATTATTACATCATCGACGGCTGCCCTAATCAATCTGTTATGTATACTAGTTTTGGACCGACTGTATGCCCGACTGGCCTACTATCTGACCGAACGGGAACTGCCCAGAACTCAGTTCGAGTTTGACAATTCGCTGACATTGAAGATGTTTTTGTTTCAATTTGTTAACTACTATTCCTCTATATTCTACATAGCCTTTGTTAAGGGCCGATTTGACGGCCAAGAGGGTCGGGCTAGTAATTGGTTTGCCGAGGAATGTCCAATGGGTAAGACATACCTATATAATCACCCGTTTTTATACACTAAACTAAACACTTATGTATCGGAGGTTTTTTTTGTGTTGACTTATACTGTTATACTCTCTCATAGGCGGCTGTTTTCTAGATCTGGCCATACAGTTGGCCATCATTATGGTTGGCAAACAAGCAGTGGGTGCTGTCCTCGAAATACTGATGCCAATGGCCACCAGATTCTATAACAAATGGAAATATACTCAGAGTATTACCACCAAATGCGGTGGTAGTGGTGGTGGCGGCGGTACCGGTGGTTCAAGTGTACTACTGTCCCAATGGGAAGAGGATTTCCTGCTTGAGTCATGGGAACCGACATCCTTGTTCTACGAATATCTTGAACTGGTCCTACAGTTTGGTTTTGTAACCATTTTTGTTTCAGCATTTCCGTTGGCGCCGTTGTTTGCACTGATCAACAACTTCTTCGAGATCCGATTGGATGCCAAAAAAATTGTCACTGACTTCAAGAGACCAGTAGCCCAACGGTATGATAAGCTAATAGTTCTATAAACATATAGTTCCCCATCATCTCTATTCAATTGTTTATTTTATATATAATTTAGAGTCAAAAGTATCGGCATTTGGTACCGAATACTGGACGCCATCGCCAAGTTGTCGGTAATAACCAATGCAATGATCATTGCCTTTACCACCAGTTTTGTACCCCGACTACTCTACTATATTGAAAACGGCAATTACGATAACTATCTAAACTCGACACTGACAATGGTCACTGTTAGCCAGGCCGACGCCCGGCTAATCGGATCATCCTATTGTGTGTATGTATGCCCACCAAAACCTGTCATACCTTTTTAAAAGTTATAGTAATTTTTTTGTTGTTATTTATTTGATTGTCTCCTCCCATCAACAGTAAAGTCAATTATTACGACTCGGCCGCCGCTGCCACCACTGACCCGACCATCATCGGTAGTTACGGTGCTGATGGTGACCATCAGTACTATTGGCGACTGATGGTCGCACGGCTAGCATTTGTTGTCCTATTTGAAAATGTTATCGTTTTGCTAACATCGCTAATGAGATGCCTGATACCGGACGTACCGAAAAACTTGAGACACCAGATACGGCTGCACTCCTATCTGACCAATGAGTTGATTATGAGACACGATCTGATTGTTGCCAAACACATCCATTGCCGCGACTGACTGACTGACCGACTGAATGGATCAGATGATGATGACGACTATCAATACTATTGATAATAATATCCTCTCATAAATATCACAATAAATTATTATTAAATTATAAATAAGTAATAATAATAATAATAATAATTTATATATTTATTACATGTTTTGATTTTTTTTTTGATATGTATCGTAAATTGTATAATAAATTTATATATTATATTAATGTATATTTTTTTTAAATCTGTTATTATTATTATATTTATTGCCAAACAAAGTGTTTTTTTGTTGTTATTACCGTAAATTGTATTTTATATATTACTGTATATTATTTGCATTTAGGTGTACATTATAATAATAATTAAATAACTTATTTATTTTTTAAATTGTTTCATCAAATAAAAAGTTAAATCATAAAATAAAATCATTAAGTTTTAAAATTTAGTATAAGTTTAAATATTTATGTTTTTTGCTAACTATACAGTATAAATAAATTTAAACAATATTTTATTTTTATTAAAAAACAATAGATATAAATACTACAGTATATATAATTAATTATAATTTTTTTTTAAATTAAATTATTATTAATTAAATTATAATAATTATTATTTGTTATCATTTAGCAGATAGTGTGGACCAAACGACATCGGATACAATACATCCAGCGATGTCTTATCGTAAGTATTGTCCGATCGGACCAAATAAATGGTTAAATCAGTTGAAAACTATTTAAAAATATTATATATATATATATATATATATATATAGATATTTTTGACAGTATATTATAATGTATTTAGAAAATTAAAGGCTATTTTTAGGGGGGGGGGTGTTGGGTGTGGTGGGGCTGACCAACTAACCTCTCGCATCAATTGACGACACACACCGCACGGTACTATCACCTGTTGGCCGTCACCACTTCCGACCGGCAGTTTCGCTACAATGGCCATCGATTTGAATTGTTTGTGACCTTCGGATACGGCCGATGAAATGGCCGACCTTTCGGCGCATATGCTTACCGAGTGGACAGCATTTTCAACATTACAACCTATCAGAGATAACCCGGATAACAGTTTAATGTTAATTTAATATAACTAATAAGTTATATATAAAAATATAATAATATTATTATTATTATTAATGATTTACCTCTAAATATGCGGCCATCGATAGTCTGGACGGCGGCGCCCACCGGAAACCCACTGTACGGACTGTACGATTGCTCCATTGCTTTGCGAGCTTCGGCTACTAGTTTTTGGACGACTACTGACTCAGACATCATAAATGAAAAATAATTTTTTTAATAAAAATATATTTTTTTTATATTTAGTATTTCAGTTATTTATATAATAAATAATTCAAAAATTTCTTTGAAATTATTATTATGCTTTAGTAATATTATTTACTTGTCTTATTGTATTTATAATAGACTACGTGTTTGTTTTTTTAATAAATAAAATGATAATTTATACAATATATATTGAATATATATATATATTTAATTAACAAACAAACAAAAATTTTTAAATAAAATGATTGACTAAAATTAATGAATTTCATTATAATTTGCGAAATCATTATTAGATGTATTAGTAATACTAAAATGAATTGACAATTTTTTTTTCTCTAAATTGTATGAGAAAAATAAGGTAATATTTTTAATATTTTAAAATAAATAATATTATAAAAAATAATATACAGATAGTAGTAAAAGTAGCCGATATAGTAGCGAAAAATAAACTAGCAAAGATGAAATATTTACCTGGCTAATTTGTCAATACCAATAAAACAAAAATTAGCATAATAAAAACATAATAGATTGAATCTACTGTATAAATAGATATACCCAGTATAAATGCAATTTATTTAATAATAATAATAATAATAATAATTAATATTATTTATATTATTATTAATGGTATACTGATTGAATTATAAGTTTATTGGATATTGAAATTTGAATATTATTATTATTAATATAAACAAACAAATTATACGAAAAATTATTTTTATAAAATAACAAAATAAAAATGATTAATTATTGATAATAATAAAAACATAACTACATTATATAAACTAGATTTTTATTAAAATTATTTATTTAATTATTTATTTTTTTCCGACAATTTTGACGCCATTATCAATACCGTCGCGCAGATCGCGCGGTCCAAACGATTTCGGTAGATATACGTCAAGCGATGTCCTCTCGTAGCTGCCGTCGGATCTGACCAAATACATCGGCAAATCTTTTGAAAACTAATAACAAAAAAACAAAAATAAATAACAATAAAAAAAACTGATAAATATATAATTTATATATACTTCACGCATGAATTGCAAACATAGACCGCACGGTACTATCAGCTGTTTCGGTGACATTGCCGACGATATGGCAATTGCCGCAAACTGTTTGTGACCATCGGCTACAGCCTTGACGATGGCTGTCCTTTCGGCGCATATACTGCCAGCGTTGCCAGCATTTTGAACATTACAACCTAAAAAGTGTAACAATTTTTTTTTTCAATTTGCAATACCGGTAATAATTTTTTTCTAATATTTATTATAAAATCATATCATTCAAAATGCCTCTATAAATGTGTCCGTCAATAGTCTGGACGGCGGCCCCAACTGGAAACCGACTGTACGGACAGTACGAATGTTTTAGTGCTTCCAGTGATTCGGTAACCAGTTTTTCGACGGCGACTGATTCGGACAAATCGGTTGTTGTCACAGACATCACTAATTTTTTATTTATTTTTTTTTTTTGATAAAAATATTTATATATTTATTTTATATATTTTTTTAAATATTTCTATTATATACAGTACACACACATATATAAAATTATATAAAGTTATTGTATTTAATATAATAGTTTTTTTGTGCTGTTTTTTTTTTGTCGTTGACTTAATGACTATTATATTTTACTAGAAATATTTTACAGTATAATAACTAATATTTAATTGTAAAAAAAATTTGTTAAAGTCATTATAATTATTATATAAATTAAAATATTTTTATATTTACAAATAAAAGTAAAAATCATTTTTGACATATATTAGTTTTTTTAAAAAAAAATTATTATATTACTTAATTGTATGAAAAATAATAGATATTATAATTTTTTTTAAAATAGTAAAAAAATTACTGATATTATTAAAAATTAATAATATTATTTATTTTATTTTATTTTTGTGGATTTAATTTCAAAATAATCTGATGCTTGACTTAACCTTAAGGGTTTAACCTTTGACCTAAACCATTGACATAAAAAAACTTTTAAATAATTTTTAAAATCTATTTTCTATAAAAAAATACAATAAAATATAAATTTCAAAAAAAATTACAACTAATTACAATGTTTTATCAAGTTGAAATTGTTATCTAACTAAAAAAAACTTAATCATTTAATATCAATTAGTTAATTACATTAGTATAGTTTACAATACTTTACATACCGGTGCTTTACATAGCTAATAAATTTATTTTACTGTATATGTCCAAACACACGTGTTTGTAAATTATATAAAAAAATAATAAATAATTATCATTACAACAACAAAAATAATAACTAAATGCACACAAACCATATGGTTTTATTTTATATAATAAAAAAATACAAATAAGTTTTAATTAATTAAATAATTTTATTTTAACTGCTTTATTATATTTACAGTAATACTACAGTTAGTGACTACTAGAGTGACCGAAAATAAAAAAAATAAAATAAAAACAACACAATTTAATAAATATAGACTAATTGAAAGTTAAATCAAAATAATTAAATTATACTTTAGTTACAAATATATATTGTTTATAATATTATATTATAGTTAATAAATTAAAATTTTCAAAAAATATGTAATTGCAAAAAATATTAATATAAAATAATTATTTTTTGTTAAAAAAAATTAATAATTTTCCAGTTGGTTAGTATAAATTTATTTTTATTTTTTTTACTAAAAACACGTCATGTATAAATTATTTATTATTTTTTAATCATTTTAATTCAATAAAAAAACATTATTATTATTATCAATATTTAAAATTTTTGTGTCCATAATTTTATTAGCAGTACTATAGTGGATGTACACCAACCTACCCTACCTGTCCACTATCCTATCCTAGTGTAGACACACACACACACTAACAAAAAAAGTTATCCTAACTATCACTAACTCACTCCCATCTCTCTCTCTCTCTCTATCATCGATGTCATCCGTATCATTGGTGGGCTCGAAACGACTGTCCACATTGGTATCCGTGTTAAGCTCAGGCCTATTCCGATTCGGACCACTATTACCAATAATCATACCCGTGTTAGTTAACCTATGGATCGGATCGGTCGATCGGTCAGCCGTACAGTTGCAAACATGGAACCACACCTACGACTATATTATTGTCGGTGCCGGTGCATCAGGTTCGGCACTGGCCTACCGCTTGGCTCAGACCAAGTATCGGATACTGGTGCTCGAAGCCGGCGGCAATGAAAACTATTTCAGCGAAATACCGGCACTAAGTCATGTACTGATGAAAACAAGAATGGACTGGCAGTACGAAACCGAACCGCAATCGGATGCCTGTCTGGGACTTGTCGACCAGCGTAGCCAATGGCCAGCTGGCCGTGTATTAGGAGGTTCGTCGGCAATGGGCGACATGTTGTACGCCAATGGAAATCCCGATGACTATAACGCTTGGGAAGCATCGGGAGCCAGTGGCTGGTCATGGGATTCAGTTAAGCAACACTTTCCCGTTGAGGAACGGGATGACATACCACCGGGAAAGTCACAGTTTGATTATGAACGCGAACTGGAGGATATGGTCGAAAGTAAACTACTGGTGTCCGACTCTAAAAGTCGACTGTCCAGAGCATTCCTGAGTACTGGCTATAAACTTAACTATAGTCTATATAAATTGAATACCCGATCAAAAGTGGCATTCGGTCCGCCGTTGTTTACCATCAAAAATGGTAAATAGTAATCTAAACCTAATCATCTACCTGTCCATTACTGAGTAACTGTCCTCACTAAATATAAACAGGTCGTCGAGAATCGTCAGCCAAAACCTATCTGTCAGGGCTGAAGACCAACAAAAATGTACACATAATTAGCTACGCTTTTGTCAAACGTGTGGTCATTGTCAACGGTACGGCCACTGGCGTCGAGTTTGATCGATTCGGTGCCGCTTATCTGGCAAATGCCAAATATGAAATCATACTAACGGCCGGTGCCATCAATTCGCCAGCAATATTGCAGCACTCGGGTATCGGTCCCCGAAAGCTATTAGAATCGTTGAACATTACGGTTGTCAAAGATTTGGCCGGTGTTGGCCACAATCTACAGGATCATTACGGAACCAGTTTGTCGTTTGTCGTACCAAAAGACCAGTCGGTTGGCAATCATTTTAAACATTTAGATTTTTTGGAAATCTTGAAATATCTAATCTATTCGGAAGGACTGCTAGCTCAGGGACCGGCCATATCGGTCGGCTATATTAACATTGATAGTAGTGACAGCAGCAGCAGCAGCGGCGGCGGCGGCACCGGTAGCCAATCGACTGCTGCGCCAAACATCCAACTAGTACTACGACCGTACGGTATGGCATCGGACAGTTCGCTACTGGTCAAGAGTGCTATCGGTATAACCGATAAACTATGGCAATCCTATACACCGTATATAGACGGCGACCAGTTTGCCATTGATATCAATTTGTTACATCCAGATAGTCGTGGATCGGTTAGAATCTGGTCACCGGATCCGTATCAGTCGCCCAGAATCGATCCCCGATACTATAGTTCACCAATGGATATCCAGCGTATGATACGGTCGGTTAAATGGTTGAAAAAGTTTGTCAATAGCGGTAAATTTCAGCAACATTTGACCGTCCAGGCAATTGGTCGGCCAAAACAATGCGACAAATATCTAACAAATGTCGATAAACTGAACGAATGTTTTGCCCGTCATCTGACACTAACCGGACATTCGCCGATCGGTACCTGTCGTATGGGCGATCCGACCGCAGCCACCACCACTGCCGAGGCAGCGGCCAAAATAGTAGTGGACACCGAACTGCGGGTAATCGGCGTGAATGGCTTACGTGTGGCCGACGCTTCGGTAATGCCCAGTCATGTATCCGGCGGGCCGTACGCCGCCTGTACGATGATTGCCAATCGTGTGGCCGATTTTATACTGGCCAAAGACAAACTGTTTCTGAAACAAGTGGCCAAACTTACCGGCGATATTATTGCTTCGGTATTCCAAAATTCGGCCCTAATGTTTGTCCGCTACAACGAGTGGACATTTGCCGAAAAACTATTGCTGGGCAACGAATCGGGTTTGGCCGAAATAAGCCAATTGGCACAACTGGTACCACTTTTTGGTGGCGGCGGATAATCATCGGCTTTGGTCAGCACTACCACTACCGGAACTGATGGTTCATTTGATGATTTTTATTAATTATAATTTTTTCAATTATCTAAATAATACGATACGATATACTACTATACTGTATATTATTCACACATTTGTTTTATTTTTGTTGTTGAATCATATGATATATTATTATTTTTTAATTATTAAATCTCTCTCTCTCTCTCTCTCTCTCTCTATATATATATATATATATATATATATATATATTTAATCATTGATTAGTTAATTAATTTTGTTGTTGTTGTTGTTATCATAAATTAGTTGACTAACGGTATATAACAATAACGATACTTATTATTATTATTATTTATTTAAAAAAAATAATTTTTTTATTATAAGTTAGTTTATTTTTAAAAAAATATTATATAAATAATCAATATCATAATTAATAATAATGATGATAAGTTTAGTTATATAATTACCCAATTTTTGATTTGAAACAATATTAGTAAAATAAATTTATATAATAATAATAAAATAGTTGACACATAAAAAATATAAATATTTTTTTTATCATTTATTAATTTAACAAAAAAAATCTTTAATTATTAAACTTTAATTACAATAACAAATAATTATTTTTTAAAAAAAATTATTTAAAAAAAAAATTACGAAATATTTTCAATGATCATTGCGTGTCCTAAAGCACCGCCAGCGCAGGCACTGACCATCGCGTACTTACCGCCGGTATGCAGCAGCCGATTGGCTGCCATATTTACCAGTCGTGAACCGGTAGCACCGAACGGATGGCCCAACGATACAGAGCCGCCCCAAGCGTTCAACCTGTCCATCGGTAAGTCGCCGACTTTGCTGGCGGCGCCGATTTTCGATTGCGAATACTCTGAGCTGTCCATTGCCCGCAAATTGGCCAACACTTGACCGCTAAAAGCTTCGTGCAGTTCGTAGACATCAATATCGGCCGCACGTAACCTGTTTTTGGCCAACAATCTAGTGATAGCGTGTGCCGGACCTAACAGCAGATGCTCTTTCGGATCGATGGCCGCATAGATATAGTCTTTGATCACTATTTCGGGTTTCAGTCCCAGTTTACGGGCCTTTTCATAGGACATCAACAGTGTAGACGACGCGCCGTCGGTCAAAAATGACGAATTACTGGCCGTAGCCGTACCTGACTTTGTAAACGCCGGTTTCAGTTTGGCTACCGAGTCATATGTGGCCAATCGGATACCGTTATCTTTGTCGACCAAACTGTTTATGGATTTACCGTAAAAACTTATTAAAACTATATATTACTCGTTAAAACTATATATAACTTATACCCGATTTTCGGTAAACACATGGGCGAGACGTCCGATAAAAGACCCGATTCGCTAGCTTTTGCGGCCAACTCGTGTGACCGCAGACCAAATCTGTCCTGATCTTCGCGGGTGACTCCAAAGGCTTTGGTCACCCGATCGCACGACTGACCCATTGTCTCATCGGTAGTAAACTCGGCTATTGGCGGCGCTTCAAAACCGTAGATCATTGACGGACGGGCTTTCAAAAACATAGCCAACCTCTTCGATAAGCCTTTTGTTTTGTTCATTGTTAGCAACCATTTACGGGCGGCTCTGGTCAGCCGTATGGGCGGATCGGACAGTGCGTCCACACCGCAGCCGATGCCGCACTCGATCTGTCCGGTAGCGATCAACGAGGCTACCGACGTAATGGCCTGATTGGCACTAATGCAGGCCTGGGTTACCGTATGGGCTGGTGTTTTGGTTACATCGAAACCGGCAGTCAGTACGGCATCTCTGGCTATGTTCGAGTTATACATTGCCATTGTCTGACCTATACGGGGGGGCATGCGGATGATAATAGTACGGTAAATTAAATGGTCACAACCTATTTCATTAGGTCACACACACACACATACCCGATACTACATAATTGATATCATCTTTGGTCAGATTCGGTACTTTGTTGACCGTTGCCAACAACGAGTGCCGTAACAGTTCAAAGCCGTTCAAATCGTTGAACTGTGTGTTGGCCCGCAAAAAGGGTGTCCGCAAACCCGATACGATGACCACTCGATTCATAATAATTATAATAATAGTCGGGTTTTGTAATAACAGTTATATAATACCCGATAATTATTTAGTTTAAAAAAATCACTCAAAAATAATCACAAAATTTGTTTTGAAAAAATACAAGTTATATAAACTTTTTTTTGTAACAGAAATAATTATTAATTAATTAATTTTGAATTATTATATGATTTTTTTTACAAATTTAATTATTATCTATTATTATGTAATATAACACCAATTAGCAATTATTATAATAATTATTATTATTTAAAATTATTAGCAACAACAACAACAAATTCAAATGGACTTCAATATCATAATATAAATTTATTTATAATGCATTTATTTATTTAAATAAATACAAAATTATATATATTTTATATCAAACTTATTAGTATTATATCTAATCGTAGATTATTTATTTATATTTCCTGATTTGTTAATAACATTATTAAAACACACTGTACTAACTATACAGTTGATGTAAAAAATATACAGTACATTACAAACACATAAGTTTTTTAATTTTTATAAAATTATTATATATATATATTAAATACTATACATACTGAATGTTATTAATAAAAAGTATATTATAATAATAATAATAATATATTTTTTAATTTCAATAATAATATTTGTATACTAAAAAAAACTGTCTACCAATGTGTTGACGTTTACACTTAACTAACTAACTAACTGTTCCCATCAAACCGGTATTATTTTATACATGTACTGTAACTAAATTACTGGTAAACTATAGTTGTATAATACCGGTACATGTAATCATATGGCAATACCGGTGTGTGTTTAAATACCTACTTGTATACACCCTTCCCCCTGTCCCTTAAAACCAAAATATGATACAGGTGCGTTAATTTTGATCATCATCACTACTAAATTTTAGTATAGTATGTTATTATTATAGTTAATTTTTATTTTTAACTACTAGTTTATTTTTTTTTATTAAATTGGTAAATTTGATTTAACATATATAAAATTATTTTTTTTATAGTAATAAATATTACTGTTATTAAAACAGTCTAATCATTATAAATAATAAAACAAAAATAGTCAATAACTTTTTTTATTATTATTTTTTTTTATCTTCTATTAAATAAACTATTTTTCGGATTATTATTATTTTTTTTTTTAAAATAATACATTGTGTCATCTCATCAGTGAATTTTACATTAAATATAATTTAATTTGTATATAATTTTTAACAAACCATATATATAAAAAAAACAAAAAAAAACTTTTGTCAATAATTTAATTTTCCGAAATAAATGTAAATATAATAATTAATAAAACTTGTTTATAATATTAATAATAGAAATAATAATAATAATATTTAATAATTTTTTAAAATAAACTGATGAATAGATTATAATAATATTATTATATATATTTATTTATTTTTAACAATAAATGATTATCATAAAAATTATTATTATTATTATTAGGCAATTAATTAAAAATATTAAGAGCATAGTTATTATTATTTTTTTGTATATTAAACAATATTTTTTTTGTTTAGAATAATATATATTTATAAAATTTTTAATAAATTTATTTTAATAGTCATATAAATTTATATATATATATATATATATATATATATTCAATATATATAAATAATTAAAAAAAATCCAAATAAATAATAATTAAAAAAAACAAATTAATTTGAATTTCCAATCATTAGTCAATTTTCTTGGTTTATATATATATATATATATACCGTATTTACAGACATATCATACATACACACACAACAACAACAACAAAACATCAATCAATCAATTAATACCGTCACCAACGCATAACGTTTGTCAGGGAATGGGATAAATGTTTAGGGAAAGGGTAGATAAAAAAAAGATCTATCGCACAAAACAACCACAATTGGCACTGTTATCTCTCTCTCTCTCTCTCTCTCTCCTAATAACACTGCTGTAGCTTGAGGTAGCTCCGGGTCCACCGAAACACAAACATATACGAGAAAACATCCGTATATATGTAATAGAGAGGCATGAGCTTGATAATTTTTATTTTTTAAAAAAAATGACCTGGATGATGATGATGATGGTTAGTTAAGTCTATCGATGATTAACACACACACACATTTGGAAGCAGTGGTGGACAGGGGTGGTGGTGGTGATGGCTGAAACGGGAACGGGCTATCCATGTCCTGCTTTAGTCTACACTCTCGATTGACTTGACTTAACCGACAGTCAAAAAATGCATTATTATTATTTAAAAAATTTAATGATTGTAATTGATTGAAGATTAATTTGGCTATAAATTGTTCTGTAGATATGATAATAATAGAGTTTCGTAGTGTTCCGAGCACTGGGAGTGTCGTAGACTGTGCCGTTCAAATGGATATACCTTTTAAATTATAATATCGAAAATAGAGAGAAAACGTGTTATTAAATTAATTACAACAACAACAACAAAATCTAAACCCATTTCCTTCCACACACACACACACACCACCCACTAAACTAACTATCCATTTACTTACATTCAATTGATATGGTTTGCCGGCATTGACCAGCGCCTGTATTAATTGTACAGTATGGGCAAAATGGACATTCTCGTCCATAAGGCCATGGATTATAAGTAAACGGTTCTCTCTTTTTTAAAAAAAAAAACAAAACAATTAGCAACAAAAAAATCTATATATATATATATATTCATACTCATTGGGAAAGGAGTTAATGTGTGTCATAACGTTTCCGAGCCGATAGCCTTCGGCATTGTTGGCCGGCGTACCCATATAGCGTTCGGTATAGCCCGTATCGTACAGTTGCCAATTGGTTACCGGTGCACCAGCTATGGCACATTTGAATATATCGGGCCGCTGGGCCAATGCCATCAGTGACAGATAGCCACCGTACGACCAGCCGTGTACGGCCACGCGTGACATGTCAATGAAATCGGTATTTTCGGCCAACCATTGCAGTGCTTCCACTTGATCGGCAATCTCTACCTGACCTAATCGATGGCGACAGTGAGCCTCAAATTTGACGCCCCTGTGCTTCGAACCGCGCGAATCAAATGCAACAACAATATAGCCTTCCGATGCCAGCAAATGGCGCCGACAGTGACGGACAGCTGTCAAAGTTAGTAGAAATAATAGTTTAAAAGAACCGGTATATAAAAAAAATACTTAAATCCTATTAAACTATACCTTTAAACGATTTGCTAACTAATTGCACTTCGGGTCCGCCATAGATTTCCAATAGTACCGGATATTTTACGCCCGCTTCCATGCATTCGGGTTTGAATATAAAACCGTAGATAAGATCACCCGATTTGAGCCTATAGTCAAACAGCTGGGGTGCAGCCATACCGGGCAGCAAATCAATTTGGTCGCCATCTTCGCCCGGATTGGCAGTAGTACCGAGAAACAGACGTTCCGATTGGACATCCGGTAGGCTAGCATTGGCAGTGGTAGTGACCAGTTTCTGGAGATAGCCAAACGGCGGTATTGTAATGTTGGACATAATGTCGACAAAATGTGTAAAATCATGATTGAAGGCAATCGTTGTGTGCGAAAAGTCTTCGGCAGTCAACCGTTTTGGTTGAAGTTTCGGATAGTTTAGTGAAATAACGTAAAGATGTCGTTCCAGTGGCGACTCTTTGAGTCCGGTAAAGTAGACCAGCGATTTTTTTTCGTCCAGCCATACCTCACTTTCGCTGACCTCCCAGTTTCCGTGGGTTAGCTGTACTTTGCCAATCAGTTTGGCCCGTATTGTCTCCAACGAGTCAAACGGTGAGCTATTCATTGATGAATCTGTGGACAACCAAACAAACCAAAAACAATAGGTTTGTCCCGAAAAAAAATTTAGTAAATAAAAACATTCAATATATAGTGTTACAAACAAACATACTCTGACTAATATTATGACTACCAGTGCCCAATGGACCAGTATTTTCTTCATCAATACTACTATTATCTAAACCTAATGTATCGTCTAGTTTAAGCTGTTTTGCACCGTTATAGTCATCGTCAGCAATGGCCGATATTTGTTGCGGCGTTAGAGGTATTTGTGGTAATGATGATGATTGCGGCGGCGGCGGCGATGTGGAACAGTTATCGGACATACTATTCTCATCATTGGAATCGGTACCACTATCACCGGTAGTGGTAACAGTGGCGGCGGCTGCGGTGGTCATCGAATCAACTAATTGTACTTCAATTTGATAGAGATGTCGATAACCGGTTTCCTCGGAGCTCCAGATAAATCTTAAATGCGAACCTACCGTCAACTCCGACAACAACGCTGGCGAGGACGCCGAAGATGACAAGTCGTTGGCGATTGAACTGAAAAAATGTAAGACAAAGTGACAGTTGATCCAAGTGGCCGACCGTTCTTCGTAGATAATCTGGGCCGGAAATAGGCTATGTAGGGACATCAGGGCCAGGACTAGATGCTGTTGGCTACGGTCCAACAGTTGTACCCAAATAGCGTCGTACGAATGCCAACCGGCCAGCACTAGATATTCGTATGAGGGAAACACTTCGGTCAACGATTTCGGTAGACTTGCAATCTTGACGTCGGCTATCTGTTGTGTTGTCGTATTCAACGAAAATGTTACAATCGATAGCGAAGATTCGGCATTAGTCTGACCTAAAAAAACTCGAGATTAACGGGAAAGTCGTGGATCGCTTAGTATTATTACATACCGGCCCGCGGAAACCTGTACTCCTCGACACTGCCGTCCCAGTTGGCTATCTTGACCATCTCTACCTCGCTTTCGTCGACAAACTCGCACAGCAGGCTATAGCTAACGTCACCGGTTTGATCAATATTGTCGTAACCGTTGTCCGGTCGCCACCAGAAACCCGTATAGCGGCTAAACTCTTCTTGGATGACATACGGCGGCGAACCGGCCGATAGGGCACCAGAATCTGTATCAAACTTGGTCTCTGTTAGCCGAAACTCGAGTCCACTCTTCAGATTACACACCCATAAGTCGCCGTCGGCTACATAGGCGCACAAATTCGGGTCCGATGGACACAACTGTGGATTCATTTTGGTGAACGTTGTGGTCGAATCCAACTTTTTCGGTATATATGGCGGAGACGATGATATCGCTGGCGGAACACTATCGGCAGCAACAACCGTACCGACGGGATCGTCAAACCAGTACAGTGTGTCGCCCGAAGCGAAAACAAATCGGCCACTTTTGGCCTGATATTCGTAGGACGTAATACCGGTAAACATCATACGCTTGCGTTCCAGTTGTAGATTTTCTTCGCGTGAACTACCGGTTCGCTGGTGTTGTTGTTGTTGATGGCCATCGATGCTCAGGTCGAGCGGCGACGAAGTAGTTGTTGTTGTCGTCGCGCCGCTAGACTTGAATGCACTGATCAATGGCCGCCAGTGTAGCCGTCGATGCGAGTCGTCAGACGTTTCTTCGTTGTGATAGTTGTTGTTGTCGTCGTCGTCGTCGTCTTCATCACTGACGGCGGCAACGCCAGAGTCTAACCGATTAAATGTAAGGTTATTGTGTTGTTGATGATGTCCGATATTGGGCTGTCGGTGAACAGTCAGCGGTCGCATCGGCATAAACTCTTCATTCTCATCGTCGTCGTCGCCGCCGATGACACCGTCGACAATCATATCGCTGGACATTAATCGATCGTCTGGCGAGTGGTTGGCATCGATATCGTGTAGTAGTGTTGTTGTCGTCGGCGTCGTCGTCGAGTTGGCCGCAGCCGAAAGATCTATAGGTACGTAATTGTTAGCCACTGTAACACTGGCCGCACGGTTGGCGGCCACTATTGGTGTAGTGGTGGTGGTGGTCGGAGTGGTTGTTATGGCCGCCGCGGCTTCCGTGTCGTAGTCGCAGTAGAGTAGCGTAATCTCTGGCGAGTTGTTCAACGCGGACAAGAAGTAGATCCTCAGTCGGGTATTGTTATGGTCATCATCGTCATCGCCGGTCAATTGGTTGCGCCAATTGAACATAAACGGTACTTTGAGTCCGATTTCGCCGAACCTTCGGTGCGAACTCTTTACTGACTGTCTTAACTGTGGCCACGGTTTCATCGGTTTGCGTGACATTACATACAAGTAATACATGTTATGCGTTGACAGCCAATGATTGTTAGGATTATTATTATTATTATTATTATTGTTGTTATTGTTGAACAACATTGTAATGTCAATACACTTATATGTACTGTACATATAGTGTGTGTATGTATTATATATATATATATGTAATGTATGTGTAGTAATGCCAATGTGTATATGTATTATAGTGTATGTGTACAGTATATAACATTGTCTCATTGAAACTTAAACCAAAACAATAGCGCAAATGCACCACAAACACACATAGATTATACTTAATATATATATACAAAAAAAATTATAATATGTTTAGTATTATAGCTCCGCCCCCCTAAGCATTATACCCTAATAATATTGCGCGCATTTTGCATAGACTACTGTATTATTGGGTATCATTGTATTGTTTTGGTTTAAGTTATACTGAAACAGTTTTTTACTGTAGTAGTAGTAGTAGTATTGTATGTTTGTATTAGAGTGTAAAATACTAGACAACTATTTACAGTATTATTATTATAGTAACCAAACCGTTAGAGAAAGTTTAAAAAAAACCAAACCGTTTATTTAAATAATATTTAATTTATTATTTAAAAAATTTTATTTTATACATATTAATTACAAATTAAATTGATTAACTTAAATAATAATAATTATAATAATATAATAATAATAATAACAACAAAACGGTTTGCAGTTTCGGGTTTTTTTTATGAAATTAAAAATTTTAAATCATGAAATCCAACCTCTAGTCTATACAGTAAAGTCACATGAGTTTTATTTTTATATTTTTTTTGATAGTTTTTTTGTGTTGTTACTATGCATAACATAAATTACGTTTAATAAAATAAATTTCTATACAGGTGTAGAATATTTTTAATTTTTTTAATGCATTTTTTTAATTAATATTATTATTAGTTAATAAAAACTGATAATAGTAAATAATTTTTATTTTATTTTTTTTTCAATGTTTAACCTATACGTGCACGCAATATATGCGTATCTATATATATATATATATATATATTAATTCAATTAGTTAATTAAAATCACATGTTACATTAGTATTTTATTTTTTTTAAAATAATATATTTTCAATACGGTAATTTTATTATAATAATAAATTTATCAAGACACTTTCTAATTAATTCATATTCAATAAATTTAATTAATAAAATATAATTACATTATATAATATATTATATAATTATATAAATTATAAATAAATCAATTTTATTTTTTTTAATAACTAATTTAGATATTTTAAAATAACTATATTTATATTATATATAAATTATTATTAATTTTAATTAATAAAAAAAATGCTATAATATTTTTAATGATTGTTATTAATTTTAGTAATATATTTATATAATATAATAATTTATTATTATAGCAAATAATACTATAATTTATAAAATTAAAATTATCTGTATTTAAATATTTTTTTATATATTAGAATATTTCTAAAATTATTAAAATAAAATAATTAAAAATAATTAATTTTAACAAACTTATATATAAATCAATCAAATTGAGTAAATATTTTTATTATTTAATTAAGTATTATTTTTGTTTGTTTGGTAATTTAATACATGTGTTATAAATGTGATATGTATAATTTTTAAAAATATAATTATTATAATTATATGTCTATTGTTTTGCTTGGTTGCCCCTTACCGTTCCCCCCCCCCCGAAAAAAAATTATATAATAATTTGATAAACAAATTATATTTTACAATATTTTTGCAATACTGTATATATATACAATACTAAATTAAATTATTAACAATTTGAAAATATATATATATATTTTTTTTGAAAATAACAGTATTATATAATTATATAATAAATTTAAAATTCAATTTCAATAATTGTTAAAATAAATAAATAATGAAAAAACAATTACTCCAAATGTTTTCATTTTTAAAAATTTTTTTTATAATACATTATATTTATACAAACACATTTATTTATTTTTTTTTTAAATAATGTACTGTATATTACATTACTTTTAATTTGTTATGATTTATAATATATATCAATATTAATATTATTGCAAAAAATAGCCATGTTAAACATGTTATTATTATTATTATTATTTTATTATCATTGAAAAAATAATAATAAGGTGTAATTATTTTTATATAAATTTTAAATATTTACAATTTGATTAATTTGATTTTATATATATATATATATATATATATATATATATATATATATATAATTCATCAATTTATATGATGGGTTAATTTATATGATATAATATATAATACAGTATTATTTATTTTTAAAAAATTATTTGTTCGTTCAAAAAATATTTTTTATAATACTTTTTTTTAATAGAGCATTATATTAAAAATTATTAATAAATATTATTTTAATTGATTAGTAAATAATTGATAATTAATGAATAATAATAGTTAATAACAAACATTATATCTTTTAATACTGTAGTTATAATAATAAAATAAAATTTATAATTACTAGACAACAACAAAAAAATAAATCCTAAAATCGGCGATTCATTTGCTGACGATTTCTACTATAGTTATTGGCCGCCGGTTGGCGGCTATCGGTGCCGCCATTGTTGGTCTGATTATTATTATCTGTACCGTCATCATCATCACCGATAGACATCATAGTATGTCGGATATACCAGAAAAATGCAATAGCTATACATATGGTCAGCGTTATGGTAACAATGAGGACGATTAGCCCAAACTGTAGATATACGACAAACAGGAACAGAGATAGAAAGGCCAACGAAATAATGGTTAGCAGTGCCCGAACCCGATTGAAACGTATCGGCTGTACGGGTCGGGTGGCGGCACCCGAATCGCGCCACTCTTGGCCATAGTTTGGACTTTGATTGGCCGTATTGGTTGTCATTGAATTGTCCTCTTGGGGCGATTGCTGGCCACTGTATGCTTGTTTGCCGACAATTGTTTGCGGAAGATTTCGCATATTATTATTATTAATATTATTAAATAATATTTAAATATCTAGTTTATCATGGATAGGATGACCACATAGATATATGAATAATATTTATAGAAAATATATATATATATATATGTTAAACAAAAATTTACAGTACTAACCTAACGGTGCGGGCATATCTAGTTTAGTAGAAAATTAACAAATAAATATACATTTAATTAATTGGAAAATTTTATTTTTTTATATTAATTATAATTAATTAACTAATATTATCTATAAATTTATATACATTTTTATCCATGATTATGTTGTTGTTGATGATGATGATAATAATAATGTTGATAATAATAATGTTGATAATAATAATGTTGATAATAATGTTGATAATATTAGACAACACAATATAGTAGATAAATGTAAATGTTTATAAATTATTAGTATTTTAATATAGTACAGGTATTTAGATATTTATATTAAAGTACAGTATATATATATATTTGAATATTATTTTTAATTAAATAAAAATATTTATTCATTAATAAATTTCCACAAAATATACTTCAATAGTAATAATCATAATAATAATAATAATACTAATATTTATAATAACTCCGGTAATCTAGACTTGTTATTGTCAATATACCAGTATATATATAAATATATATATATATATAAAATCATTAATAATACACACATTTCATGAATAATGATTATTAGCACTAATCACACGACGACTTGGTTTTTATTTTCCAATATTTATAGATATATATATATAAATATATTTATAGTATTGTATAATAGATAGAGAATATTCTTTAATAATAATAATAATAATAATAATAATATTGAATATTATTTCTAATAACTAGTTTTAACACTTTTTTTTGTTGGTTTTTTTGTGTTAACACCACAAACACATACATACATACACTATGTCCACACTATTTAATAGATATGTATAGCCCAGGCGAGTACAGGTGCTTGAGAAAAAAAACAATGATATTTGATTAACAATTAAACTAAACTATATTGAATTTATAAACTGATTGCACACACACACACACACTAACCAAATTGCATTACAAATATTTTATTTAGTTATGCATTTATTTTTTTTTTTAAATTTTAATGCTAAACAAATTTACAATTGACTTTTTAGAAAATCACACATTTTAGTATAGTATGAAACTCTCACCACAAAAATCAAATAAATGATAACTTTTTTTTTTGTTGTATACATGTTTTGTGTGTTGTCCCCCACCACCACAAAAAATAGGTAACAAATCAACACACATATACACTATTATTATTATTAGGATTATTAATAATACCTATTATTATTATGATTATTAATTATTTGGAAATGTATGCACACATAGAAAATCAAATGCAAATACACATAAAGAATATTCTGTATAATGAATATTAAATAACTGACAAAACTATTATATATTATATTATATGGATATCTCTCTCACTGATTGTATGACTGAATGTATGTATGATTTTTTTCACTCTCTCTCTCTTTCTCTCTCACGTTGATAGGCCTTGACATCAAAAATTGTTAGTTTTATAGATATTAGATATTATACTATACATGTTTGACACTCACACGCTTTACTATTATTATTATTTTCATTATTATTATTATAACTATACAAATAACTTATAATACAGTACACACTATGTAATAGGTGTAAGTGAGAGCACTCAGTTATGTTTGACCAATAGGTCTCACTTTTTATATATACATACATACATACCATTACATTATATACTGTGTGTGTCTGTATGTATGTATGTATGTATGTATGTGTGTGTGTGTGTGTGTGTGTGTGTATGTATGTATGTATGTRTGTRTGTGTGTGTGTGTGTGTGTGTGTGTGTATGTATGTATGTATGTGTGTGTGTGTGTGTGTTTAAACCGCAAGAATCTCATATATGAATTAATGATACATTTCATTATACCTGTATATATATGGGAATTGGTTTCTATACCAACTATAATAATAATAATATTGATTACATAGTGTGTGTGTGTGTCTAATGTGAGTGACTTTTTTATTATTATCAAAAAAAAGAGGTATACCTATGTTAGTGTGGGTTAAATTAAAATTCATAGCACTATTGAAAGTCCCATTGACTATGAAATTATGAATTTTTAATTTTTTGTAAATTTTTTGTTTGTTTGTCTGTAATACATAAAAAACTTTTTTAACCTATTGATGACAATATCGACTTAAACTAAAAAAATGTCTGCAAAAATATTATATATATTTCAATATCCATAAGTACTGTACAGTATATTCACTTTTTATTTTATTTTTTAAACAAATACCGTAAATGTGTGTAAAGTAGTATAAATTATAAATAATTTTCAAATATTATATACTGAATATACTGTATATATTTATTTAATATGTTTTGAACATTTATTATTAATATGCATTTAATATAAAAATTTATATATAAATTATATTGATATATACATATCAAATATATATATATATATTTATATACTATATGTAGGTGTGTATCTATGTTTTGAGTTTATAAAACTTTTGAACATTAAAATTTATATATAAATATATATATATATTTACTTATTTGATATGCGGTTTGCGTGAAATAAAATATATCATAAATCATAAATAATATATAATATATTTTTTTAATATAACAAAAAAAACATAATATAAGAAACAAATATTTTACTCTGTTTTTTAAAAATTATTTAAATAAATGGAGAATATTTTTGTTGTTGAATAAAAAAAATGATAAATAATTTCAATTAAATCACAAAATCATAATTATTTAAAATTTACTATTTAATATATGTATTATAACATTATATTATGTAATATCAATAAAAATCTAAAAATAAATTTTTGCAATGAAATTTGATTTTAATTTATTGATATTTAATAACAAAAAAAAAATAACTATCAATTATTATTATTATTGTCATTATTAATTAATAATATGAATTTTAATTAAAAATCTAATTTTAAAAAAATCAATGCAAATGTAAAACAAACGTGCAGTGAATATATGATACTATTGAAAAAAATGTCATACATTTAAAATAATTTGACTAAAAATAGTAGTATTTTTGATAATAATTTATTAAAAAATAATAATATATGAAATAACTAGTAATTTATGTATATATATTTTAGTTATATCCTATAGTATAGGACCTATACTAAACAATTTGTTTCTCAAAAAAATATAATATGAAAATTGGAGATAAAAAATATTAGTTTTATTATATGGGTTATTAAAAAATAAAAAATAAATATAATATTTATAATTAAAATTTATAATATTATAGTGTAATGATATAATATACATACATAGACATAGACATATATATATATATGTATATTATATCATTACAATATTAAATCATAAATAATTGATATTTTTTAAATTACAAAATTCAATATCATAACCAACATTAACAATATGTAGACATTAACAATATTGAACAATAATATGTAGTAAACAAAATTATTTATTTATTAAACATCATTACTATTATTATTAGTATTATAATTATCATTATATATATATATATAATTGTATTTATATATTGCTATATTTGCAAGAATAAATTATACTATAAAAATGTTAGTAATTTTTTTTTATAGTTAATATCAATTTTTAATGATTAAGTATTTTCAAGCGAATAGTCAAATATACTAATACAATGTATGAATAATTTATACCAAAATTATTGTTATTATGTATAGTGAATACTAATTTGATATATTTATAATTATATATTATATATATATATATAAATAAATATTTTTTTATAAAATCATGTAAAATATTATTACAAAAAATATCATATTTAGTTTTTTTTAAAAAAAATTATTTACATTTTGAATAATAATTATAGAATATTGAAATTTTATAAATAAAAATGTGTTTATCTAATATTTAAAAATATATAATCAGAAAAAAATAAATAAATTTTTAGTTTTTTAATATTTAATAACAAACAAGTTTTAGAAATTAATTATAGTATTACATATTTTTTTTTGTTATAATATTGAATAAAATTATTTCCGGAAACAACTAGAAATATTTATATAAAAAAATAAATAAATAATAAATTTTTTGTTTTATACATTAAAATATTGTAATAATTTATAAATATATAATTTGACATAATTTTTCCATTAAATGTTTTAATAGCATTTATAATTTTATTTATTTATTGATATATTTTTAAGATAACTGTTTTATTAAAAAATATATATTAAAAATTTTTACTAATAATATAAATTGATTGCATGTAAAAATGTAAAATTAATAAAATCTAGAAAAATATATATTTTTATGAATTATAACTATATATATATATATATATATATAGAAAAATTATTATTTATTTATAACAAACACACAAACAAACATTTTTATAAACAATTATAAGATATAATTTTATTAAAACTAATGTACTGTAAAGTGCTGTAATATTTCATTTTAAATTGATTGTAATTATATATAGACTTATAAATTTTATAAACAGGATATACTGTATATTTATGATATATTTTATTTTTATATTAAACTTGAAAAATCATATTATAATTTAATTTAATATAATAACTTAAAGTATTATCACAAATGAAATTTACAATTACAGTAGTGTTTACCGAAAAATTTAATTTAAAAATTTTTACATTTTATGTTAGTTCACGTAATAAGGTTTTAAGTGCTAAACTAAATACACAGTTTTTAATTGATGTGTTATTTTTGGGCCATTATATAAACATTTGAAACTTATATAAGTTTGAGTAAATAGGAAAATTTGGCAAGGTTAAATAGTAATAAATTATATTATATTTAAAAATTACATATGTTTATTACATTTAGATATTAGAAATACCCATTTAAAACACAATTATAATATATATATATAATTTTATTAAAAATTTGTTTGACATTATTTTTTTGTTGACAATTATTTTTTATAATAAAAACTTAAATTTTTTCATTACTTAAAGTAAATCTAAACAGTGAAACATTTTTTAAAACATGTTTAGTTAACTCTGAACTAACAATGAATTAATTATAATAAAAAAAATTAATTATTATTTTATTTGTTTGTGACAAATGTTTAGGTCTAATATAGTTATAACTTATAGTCAATTAATTCAGACATTTAGTACATGACTAACAGTATTTATAATTTATACTGTATTATACAATCTGTATATATATATATAAAAAACAGTATATTTATAAGTGATTTATAATGTCTGTATTTGTAAGCAATTTGTTTATATAGTATTTATTATATTGATTGAGATGAGAGAGAGAGAGAGAGAGAGAGAGAGAGAGATTATGTCAATATCTATATATATATATTAGATAAGAATTTTTATATATAACAGAATATTCTGGGAATATATGTATTTTATATATACTGTATATAGAGTTATATATATATACAGTAATATCACATATAAAACAATTTGATAGCACAGACATCACTGCAAATCGGAGTGCGGGTGCGCTTCGCGGACATAACAAACCTAATACCATAGAAAACACTTAGAGATATATAGATAGATATACTCTATATATATATATATTGCTATATATTATATATATATAATATATATATATATATATGAGAGGAGACACCGATACAGATGACGGCGCAAATACATCAATAAAAATCACAACTGAAAACACTGTCGTTTCCTAACGATTGTTGTGTACAATGTTTTGCGACAGACATTTATAATATGCTAGTATATGATTGTAATAATAATAATAATAATAATAAATTAAAATTTATTATTATTATTATATAATTTTTTGATTGAAAATAAAAAGCCTATAGTTTTTTTTCAAAAAAATTTCATGTATGTGTGTGTGTGTGACTATATTATTCAATAATAATAATAATACTAATTTGTATGCTATTGTATCATTGTTATTGTTTTAAAATTATCTTGCTAAAATATTAATAGCCATAATAATAATAATAGGTAAAAAATAAAAACTATAATAATAATCAATTAATGTAAGTGATATTATTAATATATATATATTATGATTTTTTTTTAAAAAAACAATATAATTTGATTAATTAATTTTGATAATAATTTTTTATGTTTTTTTAATGTGAAAACTATAATAAATAATTGAATGAATTTATTATTTATAAATTTATTGTTAGTGTTTGTGTGATTAACTTTAAGATTACTATTAAATTTTATTAAATTACTGGCTTATTGTTGTACTTAATAATTATATATATTATACTTATAAAGTATATACCGGTATATAAAATTGATGACTAATAAAATTCATTAAATATTAAAACATTACAAAAAACAAAATTACTAATAATAATAATAATAATCGTAATAATGGTTTGTAAAACTAATTAAAAATTTAAATATTAGTAAAAGCAAAAAGCATTAATTAATATTTATTGTTTTTAATTCAATTTATTATTATTATTATTATTATTATTATTATTATATTATTATTATTATTATTCTTCTTCTTATTATTATTATTATTATTATTATTATTATTAATATTATATTATTATTATTATTATTATTACTTAGATTTAATTTTTATCGTCATAGAAGAAAAACAATATTAATTATAAATATTTAATAATAATAATCAAAAAATATATATAATAATTATTATTATTATTATTAATGACATTTTTCTTATGTGTGTATATTAATATAAATAACTTAATTATAATATTTATATTATAATAAAAATAATTATTTGTGCAAAATAATAATAATAAATCTATATATTATACTAAATCAAAATATTTAATTTAAAAAAATTACATATTTATTGATTATATATATATATTAATATCAACAAAAATAACAAGCAATCAAATAATAGAAATCAATATATTATATATTATTTGATACAAAAAAAATTGTCATTAAAAACATCTGTCAAAAAAATAATATATATATATATAATAATTGGACACAACAACAACAAAAATAAATAATTATGACAAACTATTGGACAACCCTAAAAATATGGCTATCCATAGTTAGCCTATTTTTACTATTTATACAATTAAGGTAATTACTGAATGATTTTAATAATAATAATAATAATAAAATTATAAATCAATACTTTATTAATAATAAAAAACTTATTTTCATAATTATGTGTTACTTAATTAATATTAAAATAAAAATATTATGTGAGTGTAATTTAGTTAATATTATATTGAGATATAAATTAATTTTTTAAAAATATATTATTATATTTTTTTTTAAAAATTAAATCTTACTATTTAAATTTTTAATTAAACTGATAAAAACAAATTTTTCAAAAAATTATAGACAATGTTCAATAAAAGTTAGAAATAAATAAAAGAAATTTATTGATTTTTATATAACAAATAAAAAAAACATTTGTATCCCATTTTGATATATTTGTAGATTTGTATTATATAGTTGAATAAAAAATATAATTTTCTAAACAATTTTCAAGTAAAATATTTAAAAAATTAAAAGAAAAATTGGATAATAATATAAATTTATTTCAAAGTAACTTAACAAATAAGATCACAACAATTTTTAATCTAATTTTTTTTTATAAAAGTTATAAATTGAAAAAATTATTCACTATACTTAATTGATCATGGTCTACTAGTATATTAAATTTTTAAAAATATCTATCAAAAAAACTATATACAATATAATAATAGTAATCTAATATAATTATATCAAACAGTATTTACAGTAATTTATAACTTTAATTAAGTTTAATACAGTTTTTTATTAAAAAAAAATCAATAAAAAACAATAAACTGATATTAAATATTATTTATTTTTAAAAAATGTCTTTTTTTTGATTAACTTATTTGATTGTTTAATATTATTATTTTTTTCAACAACAAAAAAATATATATATATACCAGAGTTTCGGGAAAAGGGACGGCCAACTTTCGGGCCATAGAAAAGCGTATATTGGACTCGATTATCGGCGACGGCCGCTACGATTCCCGTATACGACCGTCCGGTGTCAATGCCAGCCAGGGTCAGGGTATGTGTACAGTACAAACAAATACATAACTGTCCCCTAAATGTATTTTTTTAAAATAAAATAAACAATATACTAATGATTTAATAATAATTATGTTTATTATTATTATTATTGTTGTTGTTATTTATCAAATTTTTAAAAAATTATTTTCAAATTATATGAAATAATTAATTTCAATTTTTATTAATAATAATAATAATAACCTAGATGGACCGGCACTGGTATCAATTAACATTTATGTTAGAAGTATATCAAGCATTGATGATGTTACCATGGTAAGTTAGAGTATTATAATATAAATTTTATTTATAATATTTTTTTTTAAATTATTTTTTTTACTATGATATACATAATAAACAAAACAAATAAAATAATTGTTTTTGCAATTAATTTTATGTTTATTGTCTACACGTGTTTGTTATAATAATAAAAAATGAGTTAATAAATAGTTATTTTTTTATTATTAAATATGTTGTTTGTTTATTGCTAACTAATTAAAAATAATAATATTTTTTAAAAACCAAATTATCTACTAATTGCTAGAAAAATATTAGTTTTTCCTAAAATAAAAATGTATTTTCTAATGGTTTTATTATGCATTAAATGCTTTTACTTTATTTTCAAAATATTTAAACTTTTATTGTAAATTATACTACTATTTAATTTTTTTTTTGTTTTATTTTACAAGTGCTAATTGATAATGATTATAATAATAATAATAGAAAAATATTTTAATTATTATAATAATGATATTGAAAACAATATACTCTATGCACTAAAAATCTAAATTATATAATAATTATTATTTTTTTAAAGTATATAAGATATAATATACACTAAAAATGCACTTAACTTTAAACTAGAAATATATTAAAAGTCTATTAATAAATAATAAAACTTATAAAATGGGGAAAATTTTTCTGTAAAATTAATTTATTACAATTTTATCACTTAATGAAAATTCTAGTAAAAATCATAATGTAATGTATTGTTTAAATTTTTTTTTTATAAAAATAAATATAAACTTCAATTTGATTGTATATATATAAAATAAATCAAATTGAATTTTTTGTTTGTTTGTTATTAGTTTCCACTAAAATAACATTATACTAAATACCTAGATACAATTTATTATAAATGATAATAAAATCCAAATCATCACTTTTGACTGATTATGATATTATCATATATTAAAAAAATAAAATACATTAGCTTCAAGGTTTATAAAATAATTTTTTTTTTAAATATAAATAATGAAATTTTCAAACTTCAAACAATTTATTCACTATACTATTATTTCAGCAAAAAATATATTATTTTTTTAAAATAAACAAATTATTTACACAGTAATTACACAATTTTATTTTATTTCAATTAATGATATATACATATATATATATATATTGCACAGTATAAAAATAAAATATTTTAATATAAATACAAATATAAATACATTAAATAGAAATCATATAATTATATCATATTTAATATGGGTTTACAAATTAAAAAAAATACAATATATTTACAAATATTATCGGAATTATAATATTTTTTACTGACTAAATTTTTTTTGGATGAAAAATATATATAACAATAAATAAAATTAAAAGCAAAAAATAAATAAAATAAAATAAAACATTATATAATATAATAATATAAATCAAATTAACTTTATATACAAAAATAATAGAAATATTTTTCAAACTTTAAAAATTGTTTGCTGTGTTTGCATAACATATACGATGCCATCCAATAGCCGCTGACCGTAGAGACCGAAACAATAGATAAAAACATTACAGTCAGCGATGGCCACACATTGGCCATTGATTTCACAGCTGCCGCCGTCACCGCCGCCAAACTTGTTGTCTAAAACACTGCCGCAGTGGCCAGTAGTGGCCAACGATTTGCGAAACATTTTGATGGCCCGGGCAATCGTTTGGCCAGTGTTGATGGCACGCGACCAGCCGATACCGTAGCGCCATAGTGTTACATAGTGTTCGCAATTGCATCGGTACTGGTCAAACTTGACCACTGTATTGCAAAACTGTTTTAGTGCGCTGATCACTGGCCCGACGGGTGGCGGCGAAACATTTTCGGTTAGTCTCAGTACCCGATCGGCCAGCTCTGACTGATTGTGTATTCTATAGAGTGGTGTTTCGATGGGAAACACATCCTGTAGGACATCGCCTAGCGGTTCATATCTAACTACACCGTAGTTGTGGCCGCTATCGGTGTCGACGGCGGCGGCGTCTGTGGTAGTGGTGGGAGTGGTCACCAGTCGTTGCACATGAAAGCACCAGTGCTTGCCATCGACAGGTGCGCTCAGTAGTACATAGTGTCGGACAAAGCCGTACCTGATCTCTACGATATCACCCATTTGTGCGGTCATTGCAATCGTATCATAGTTGACCAGTTTGTCTAATTTGGTTGGTTTTTTTCGGGCACATGTAGTCAAATTGGACCACACTTTTTGTGGATACTTTTTGGTCATATTTGAACCCATTTTTTTGGTGGTGTTTTATATATGATATACAGTAGTTGTTGTAATTTACAGTAGTTTTGGAGGGAGGAGGGGAACGGTATGCAACTGATACAAGTATTAGTATTAATTAGATGATAGTATGAGAAGCGTTTTAAACACAAATATTATTATTATATAATTTGTTTGACTAATAAATAACAAACTTTTCTCTCAAAAATTCAACAAAAAAATTGTGAATAATATGATAATAATTTTTTTTTTATAAAAAATATATGAAAAGTTGGAAATTATTATTATTAATGTTTAGATTATTCATATATATCGCATAATAATAATATATATAATATTTATTTATCTATTTATTATATAAATAATGATTAGACAAAAAAACATAACAACAAAAATGTATTTTCACTATTTATTAGTTGAATTCACAATTTACACCAAACAACAACAAAAAAAACTTTTTTTTTATATATTATCTCAAAATCATTGTTTTGTCATTTATTATATATATTTAAAAAAACATTTTGTTTTCATCATTTATATTAGCACTGGTAGTCAATCTATTATACATATAAAGTAAATGGATATCTAATGAGACACTCATGAGTTAGTCACGAATTTTTTCAGGCGGGGGGGGGGAAGGGGTGTTAGTGGGGACAGTCGTCAACTAACTTGTCTGTATTAACTTGTTGACTGAAATTTTTAATATTAATATCAATACACTAATAATAATGATAATTATGATAATATTTGAAAAAGTTTAGGTTTTTCAACAACAAAAATAAAAACAATAATAAAAATAAAAATAACATAAACTTTTAAAAAAGTTTTTTTTTGAAAATAAATATTTTGTTTGTTTGTTTGTTTCACAAATAAAAACTTTTTAATTCACAAAACTCAATGAACAGGAAAACTTAAATAAAAATAAAAACATAACTTTAAATATATTTAAAAAAATTTTTATTTATTATCAGCAATGAGAAATTTTTTTAAAAAAAATGTTTAATAATTATAAATTGAAATAACAAGAAAAAAATTTAAACTATATTTATATTATTAAACATTAATTGTGTTTAAAAAAAAAATAATTTATATCTAATAATAAATCCACATTTGACGACAAGTTAGTGACACATTAATTAATTTTTTTATTAATAATTAATTATGTTATTAATAGTATTATTTTTTATAATTATTAATATAGTTTGAATTGTAATTTATTTATTTAGGAAACTTTTACTAATCAAAAATTATTATTATTATTAGTCATATTGTGGTTTATAAATAACAAAACTTCAATAAAAACAACAACAAAATAATTAATTCAATAACTATTTAATAGTTAGTATATTCACAAATAATAATAATCTGTTGTATACTTTTACAAGCTCTACGAAAATAGACATTTATGTCTACTTAGCTCTACGAAAAAATTAAACAATTGAATGGTATAAGCTCTACGAAAAATTTATACAATTATTATATTAATAATAATTACATTACATTGCATTAAACACTATACTATATTATAATAATGTATAACAGTAAAAGTTGTTAGCCTTCACTTTATTATAAACATGTTTACCTTAAATAAACAACCAATAAAAATCAATTAAATAATTTTATTTTTTAGATTATTAAATAGTATTTAAGAAGGCGAAATTGCATTATTCTAACAGTTAAAAATGAATTCACTAGATATTAATTATAATTTATTTGAAAATAGACTTTCTTCATTTGAAAATTGTGTTTTAGATGAATTAATATCAAACAACTTCAATCGGTTTGCAGATGCTGGTTTATATTATGTTGGCCATGAAGATATTATGAAATGCTTTGAATGTAATGGTGGACTTTATTGTTGGGAACCAGGTGATGATCCATGGATAGAACATGCAAAATATTACCCGACATGCAAGTATCTCAACGAAAAGAAAAGTCAAACATTTATCAAAACATGTGTTGAAATACATGAAAGTGAAAAGCGAAACAAAGTACTTTTACCCAAGTTCGAAGAATTGATTTCAAAAATTAATAATTTAAAAATAACTAATGAAAATATAAATCATCAAATAATATGTGAAACAAATAATAAATGTATAAATGACCAATTACTATGTAAAATATGTTACGTAAATGAAATAAATAGTGTATTGTTGCCATGTTGTCATCAATTAACTTGTACAGACTGTAATTTAAAAATATCAAATTGTCCTATTTGTAATTGTTTAATAGAAATAAAACAAAAAGTTTATATTTGTTAAAATTTGATTTTTATTTTTATATTTAAGTTATTTTATTAAAACGTTCATTAAATATTTTATCTCTAAACTCTTTTTCCAAAACGTACGATATATTTTCTCCGATAAGTTTGCATTTAAATTCATGAAGACGTCTGTCCCATACAATCCAATGCCAGTTAGATATTCTAGCTTGTTTAGAGGCATATGGTCAAACATACATAATTTTTACTTGAATATTATCATTAAATTTAACAGTTTTCATGATTTTATTTTTAAAATATTTATTTATTTTTAAAAATATAGAAAATAATAAATTCGTTATATTTAGTATTTTTAAAGAAAAAATTTATAATATTTTTTAATTTAACTTTTTTTGAACGTAAGATTATATAAAATAAACAATATTTTCCACAAGTTAAACTATTTATATTTTGTATATGAAATTTATTATATATATAATTGTCTCCATTATTTTTAATAAAATTAATTATTTCTTTATGTCTTGGAGGAAATCCAAATGAATCAAAGTATTCTATTGGTCCCG